CACATGCAGCTTGTTTGTTTACCCTGTCCACGTTTTACACGTTTCATTATTCAGGAAATTCAATTCTTAACCCTTATTTGTTAGGTTTAAATTTAAAAGTTCTGGAGCTACTGGAATCAGCTTTGACAAACAATCCAGGACATTCTTACAGTCACCCTTGAAAATACACAACTGATTTGCATTTTAGATCCCTTCTCAGTAGCTCTCTGGTCAGTTACCATGGAGTGCAAGCAAATTTTATAAAAGATGACTAAGAGAAAACAGAACAAACTAAAGGCAGACATTTACATGCTATGTCTGTAAATATTAAACATGCAGAATAAATTTATATGAAAAAGTTTTAAAGGAAAAATTTCTCTTTTACTACTGTCAGTTCTATCTGTAATGCTAAAGATAAAAGTAACAATAGAATTCCTAAGGTCTCAAAGACAGCCTTATATTTTTAATAAAGGATTTGATTTTTGATATTTTTCAGAATATGCATGTGTATTTTAGTAACAGCTGATCTTATAAAATGAAACAAAATTAGAAGTATACTTTATTCAGATTATTCGTCCTTGATTCCTCTTAAAATTGAAATCAACATTAATGATATTAAGATGTAAATACTGCACCATTAGGAAAACGATTACCCAGAGAAGTAAACACTTTATATAAACTTTATATGAATGTTTACATTTAAGGAACTATTAGACTTACTGACTTTGGATTTTGTAATCATTTATATCTACTCTTTTTCTCTGGCACTATAATAATGGTGTATAAAAATCAAAATAATCTGTGTTTGGAAGGTGACATGTCTGTATATGGGAAAGCCTATCTCTGAGCCTTTAGGCTTTTCTTGTTGTTTGTTTTGTTTTTTTTTTTTTAATCATGAAGATTTATGAGACAATTTCAAAAATATTGTTAATGAATACTAGAGTCATCGATTCCACAGAAAAATTCAAAAGGCCTCAGGAGATCATCTCTACTACTTAGAGTCTTGATTAAATGAAAAATGTAAGTAGCTTGACTGAATTAAATCTAGTAATTGTTACTTTGTGTTTCACTTTCTGAGAAACAGCATATTCTATATGTTCAAAGGGGGAAAATGTGCTGTGTGTATATTTACTTTTCATTTGAATGGGCATTCAAATTTTCATTTTTAGCTCATTAATGATCATTTAGTGGCAGACTGAAAATTAAATGGAGTAATTTTTTGCTTAATTTATTGAGCAGCAAACAGCACTTCAGGGACTGAAGTAAAGAATGGAATGATATGTTCATTCTTGAGGTGGGTTCATAATCAATATAGGAATCCAAGCAGTCAAATTGACAAATTTTGGGATGTTATTAGCTGAGTTCAGTGATCACTCACAAAGTCCCGTTTCAGAGTCAGATCAAGTGGCCCCAAACTGAAGGGTTATAGAGTTTTTGAAGTAGAAAACCGCAAAGCAAGACAACCTGTTGGAAACAATTTAGCTAGAATCTTAGATTAATTTTGGTAGATACTTGTATGTTGCTTCTTTGTTGAGTAGGTTAATTTTTCTCTTATGAGTGCAGCTTGTTCTGCTTTTCTCATGAGGGCACAAGATGGCATCAGTTATGCCAAGCTACAATAAATCTCTTCAAGCACTTTGTCTTCTTGGAAAAAAAAGAATATCCTTACAGTGAGGAAGGATAAATGCAGCAGATTGCTAGGAAATGCAGGCTAAAACAGAACTTATGACAGAAAAATGGCTAAGGACACATAAGGGAAATTAGGAAACATTCAAAATTTACAGAAGAGGGATTTGATCTCATAGTTGTTTTTTTCTCAATAGGGGAACTGGATTGTTGGATGAGAAAACAATTAAGTAGAAGGACCAATTATGAAGGTATTGCCCAAAACTGGGACACCACTCATGTAGAAGCAACTGGGAAAAAAGACATGGCTGGATCTACGAAGCATTTAGAAGTTAGCATCCTTTTACTATGTCTAATGTAGTCTAAAATGCAGTATTTTAATACAGTACAGCTGTTTCAGGATATACAGAAGAATTCTCTGGAAAACATTCAGCATTCACAGGCTTGGGCCTACGGAAGCAGACCCACTAGAGCCATGTCTCAGCCCTCAATGACCTCCACCCCCGGATCTCACCATGAGGTAATTGCTAGCCTCTCTGATCCATTCACTTTCCCCATTATATTCACTTTGTAAATGACACTGAATTGAAAGTCCATATCATAGATTAGGATAACAAATATGATTCACAGGACTAGGTTAGTTTAGTATGATTCACATTACTATGAAGATACCACAGACTGGTGAAATTACAATTAGTAAACATTTTTTATTAACCACTAAGTAGGTTAAATAAAGAGTAATGCAATGTAGTTAAAGACAAAACAACTAAAACAAAGAAATTCATGAAGGACCTAATAAGATTTAGTATTTCGTTATCATCTAATAAAAATTTCGGAAAGTTTTAAATGTGGCAACTTAAAAAATGCTACTTAGTTGTAAAATTTAAAGGTAGCGTTAAAGTATTACAAATAGAGTTTATCATTAAGTTTCACATTCATTAAAATACAACAGGCAATATTAACTGGATGGATGTTTGTTTTAAAAAGTCAGGTCCTGCAGTGTTTTCCAACTGGATTACTCTCATTGCTTTTGGCAGTAAGCGTGGAAGGTTAACTTGATTGGCTTTGGAATCTGTGCCAGGATTAGCTGTATGCTAGGTGTAACTTTGAGCTTGCTCTTTATTGTTTTTATTTGTAGGTTGAGCATAGTTTAAGTGCTTGCGTGTGACCTAAGAAGGTCAGAGCTGTGGTATTTAGGGTGAAGCACCAATTCGATTCACTCTGCTGCACAAACATACAAGTATTGGTCACTACACATCACCTTTAAAAACCAATTCTCTTTTGTTTCTTTAATGAAAAAACTGAAGTATAAACACAGACAATAAATTCTGACCTCTTCAATAGTGAATACCATTGAACGCTTTAGAATTATAAAATTAAAAACCTTAAGAAAGTCTCTTGACATTGCCTGTCATTTCTTCTTGCTCTCTTTCACTTGAATTGATTTTGCAGACCAAAGGTGGGATAAAGCTGAACAGTTGAATGCTACAGACTGTGAGATTAATATCTTGTAATGTAACAGATGTTATTAGGTTTGCTTGTTCAAAGAGGTTCACACTGCATGTTAAGCCAAAGGCAAGGGAAATTCTAATTTCTCTATTCATATCTTATTTGAATAGAAAGCATACAGCAATACATATAGAATTATTACGCTGGTAAATATTTAACAGCAGGACTTTCTTTAAAAAGTCCTAGTTTGCAGATTTTGTCAATTTTTGTAAATTTAGACACTCCCACATGACTGATTCTGAACTATAAACACGACATAATGAAACTATACAGGAAGATGAGATGAAGAAACTGTTACATAGCAACTGCACTATGGCAATCTGGTGAGTCTGAATTCACAGTGTAGGTATGAGTAAAATAAAGCAGAACTGAGTTTTGAGCACTATTATCCATTAAAAATATATTTCAACCAGAAGTGTATGTAATTTATATTTTTTTGTCTTTTTAAACTGCCCACGCACTGAATTACTGAATCCCTAGTAGTAATTAGGCAAAAGCCTTTCATTTCTGTATACTTCATCATCGACTGTAAGTGAGGTAAGCAGGTTGTGAGACATAACAAAGATCTCTTCCCAAGTTTGTTTATAAAAGCTAATGAAAGCATAAAACTGGACGCCTCCAACAGTCTATGGAAAAATTTAGCTTAAATTGAGTCTTCCTGATTCAATTCTCACCTCCAGCAGCAGCTACTAATGTCACTGTTATGAAATAAGTGTTAAACTATTAACAATCATTATTATAATGTAGTCATGTTAATACTTATTCTAAGTAATACATAAATCTCTTCTATTAATAACTAGAAATCTATTACAAGGTAATGAGATGTAATAAAAGTAACTTCAATTGGAAGACAAAAGTTTTAGGCTATGTTTCCAAATTCCCACTTATTGGAGGATATTCTTTTAAAATTTCTGGCTGTCAAATTCATATATCTATTAAGTAATAGTAGAAATTACCAAAGAATGTAATTGTAATTTTAAAAATAGTATCATAGCAGACCTCTATTTTAAAATCTGATTTCTGGAAAAAAATACTAATGTGGCAAAGTCCCTTTGCACATTCTCCTGACTTGCTCACCAATTAAATGTAGAGGGCATATGCATTCACTTGACAAAATCAGATATTATTCAGATTGGATTTTCCTGGATTGACTATGATTGGAGCAAAAACTGCTAATAAAGTACAGTATCATTTAAATACAGCTGCAGTGTCACCCAAGTGAAGTATTTCTATCACTCAGTAGCTGCATAACGTGTACACTTCTCATCACAGCTGACATTCATTTCTCCTTACACTATAAGTAAGACGCAGCTTGGCGTCACCTTATTCTTTCATAGAACCTTCGAGTTTTAGACCTGAAATTCTGAGTACCTTTTTATAAACCAAAATTCCAAAGAAAATGAGGTATAGAAGTCCTGACTCTCACACAGCACCATGCATCTTATTACTGACTGTCATGGTTTATGTCTGTGTCCCCCAGGCCTCATGAGTTTGCATTGTGTATTTCTGAGTGGTTGATTGCCTACTGCTTGGATTGACGGTGTCAGTGCTCCACCCACATAGGGGTGGAGCCAGGATGTGATGTAATGGCAGGAAGAAGGTGTGTCTTTCTCTTTGCTGGTTCGGGCTTGCTGTTTTGCTGTTTGCAGCCGCCATGAAAGGCAGCCCAGCCATGCCCGCCTGCCGGGGAGCCAACTGAGTGTGGACTGAAAACTCCAAAAACTGTAAGAAATAAACCTTTCCTTTCCCAACTTGGGCATCAGGTATTTTGTCTCAGCGATGAGCATAAAATAACTAAGACACTGATACAGCAGGGTCTGACCACATTTGAAGATTTCATTGTCTGCCCCCACTGAAAGGAACTATTCTTAAGAGTAAACCATTACCTCTTGGAGAACTCTCTTCATCTTTAACAACAGCGTCTTCACGGCAGTGCAGTCCTGTAACATCAATCTGAATGGCAGAGGATCAAAGCCTCCATTCTCTTCTATGCTCTGGAAGGGCCAATCTGCCGATGGGCTGCCAGGCACTCGGCTGACATGGGGACATCTGGATTCCTGGTCCATGTCTCTTGTCAATTTCAAAGAAAGACTCCTAATAAGAAAAAAACTAATATAAATTACAGTGCAGCATACTTAAACTATTTTTCCTAAACTGTTGATCAATATCATTAGTAGGCAAGAAAAAAAAATTTTGGTAATCTCATCATTTCCTCATATATTTACCTCTGAAAATAGACTTTGTGAGAGATTCTGAAATAGGTTGATTGTATAAAGATTCAACTGTAATTACTGTCTTACAAGATGACCATTCCCTAATTAGCATTTAATTTATTTGTGGTGCTTAATTTAAAATGTTAAGACTCAATGAAAATCGATGGAAGACAAATTTTATAACTAGCATTTCTCATAGCATGCTTAAAATTAACCATAATCAAAAAATTAAGAAGAGAATACTGATTTACTAATTATTATTTTAAACTAATCAGTGGACTTTTTATTGACCAAGTAAAGTAAAGGACTTTATAATGAATTTCATATAAAAAAAAACTTTTTAAAAAGGGATATACATGGGTAATAATTTCCTGGTGTTATTAGCATATAGAGGGAGTCAAAATGCCAACCTCTCTCACAAAATGTTTAAGAATCATTGTGGGCTGAAAGCAGCTGAGAAGCAGATGCAAGAATAAGCCTTTGATCACCTCCTAGTCACTTAAAGCATGTATATACTTATAAAGTTGTCCTCCTCTGTCCACCAGAACTTAATCACTGGAGACAAGTCTAGATGTCCATCAGGTCAGAGTAGCCCCAGACATATCTATGGAACAAATTTAACTGCCTACTGTGTCTTCAGAAAGTTTCTCAGGTATGACTTTTCTTCATTCTGCTGCCTTAGGAACTCCAACTCCTTTCTTGCTTCTTTTGTAAAAAATTCTTGTTCTTTTTTCTTAAGATGCAACATAAGCCCTGATGCTAAGCACTCATTTGAGTGGCTCATCTGAGCAGTCCTGCTTTTGTGCACAACGGGTGTTTCACCTTTTTTTTTTTTGTTTTTTTGTTTTTTTTTCTTTTGGTGGTAGGGTTTGAATGCTAAGTCCCAAGCCCCACAATGGTGTTTTAATGTTTGTTTTTGTACTGGTAAGTCTTTGTCAATTCAATTTATAGAACCACATCTCGAAAACCCAGCATGTAGAAGGAATCAAACACAAAGTGCTAATTCTCATAAAAATGCCACTCCTTTTAGACTGACAAATATATATATTTTTAAAGAACAAATAGCTATCTCCAGACAAGTCTAACATTTAAATCCTTACAACACTGCCTGAGGTACTGCAATTTATATATATATATTCACTATAATTATTTGAATAAATTATATGATTAGTGGAGGGCAGAGTGTTACACTATCCAAGTACACATTAGTTCATCCTAAATTCACTTTTCACCTGCTTTTTAACTTAGACAAAATTTACTCATCTACACTTGCATACTGTCCTATGTAAAATGAATACCCTCTTACACCTACCAGCTGGAGGGTAAGTGTAAGTTAACATATGTGCCAAGAGCCCTCAAAAACACTGTGAGATTATTTTTATTTTTAAAAAAAGACATAAAATCTAAGTAGTAGTAACTCTTACCACCCAAAGATATGTTTTCTATAATAATTATACAAAAAATTATTACCATTAAATTATTTCAATTAATAATCAGATATGAATAATACTGAGTATTACATTATTTCTATCTCTGGTTGACCCTTGTGCTACGATACTTCTTATTTTTCTTTAATTTAGGTTGCATAGGAATTTTGTTATATAATTCAGAAAATAATATACACACAGATAAAAATCTAAAGCTTTTTGTAATTTGGTGTAGGAAAGACATGCCATAAACAAATTCATTTGGAGGACAAAATTAGCTATTTTTAATACTTCAATACTTTGCAACTATTTTTAATTACAAAAAAGTAAATGACGGACTTTCTTCTCACAATTATTAAACATATCCACACTGTATCCAACAGAGCAAAAGTGGTTAAATTTGCAGGCATTATAGGATTCTGTCACTGATCTCAAAAACCTCACCATGATTTTAATGTCTTAGAACACCCAGACATGATGGTACATGCCTCTAATCTCAAGTTCAAGGTCTGAGGCAAAAGATTACTACAAGTTCAAGGTCTGCCTGGGCTAAATAGTGAGTTCAAGGCTAGACTAAACAATAAAGATAGACTGATCCTGTCTCAAAAATGCAACTAATTTTTAAATAAAATAAATTTTAAGGTTGATATTAAAAATAATGATATGCTTTCACATAAGAACATTTTAATTGCTACATGAAAAAATACTTCTACTACAAGCTATATGGTAGTCATCAAAACCAATCATAATTCAGTCAAGGCAGCTGGTGAAATGATCCTGAAATAGGGATACAATTCATAGTTTGTTAGCACAGCCATTTGGTTTACATTTATGCCACTGTCTTTCTCATTGAGAGTGCCTTAGGTTCAGTGTTTTTGACAACTACTGTTAATAGTAAATCATTATCTTACTCAAAATACCTATCTGTCTCTGGGAAAATTCAAGTTAAAACAAAACAACCTCCTGTTGACACGAAAAGAAAGAAAATCTTTAATGTAGAGTCATAGTTTCATGATTTTCTCTAGAACATACCAAGTCTGCTGAGGACAGAACAAAGATCAGGTGTTGTTCTGTTCCTGGGTTAGGAGACCTCACTAAAAAATACAATACACGACTTTAGGATATACAACTCACTGTCTTCCAAATCTGCATCATGGTTTCAGTAAACAGAAAAAACACATTTTGCATCAAAAAGTCTTTTAATATGGAATAAAGAAAGTGTGGTACTAAAGCTGGACAGAGAGGTTTATTATTCACCATAACTTTTTCCAACAAAATACAAACACAAGGAAACTTCTACAGACCTCATTTATATTCAGTTCACTCTCTCTGTATCAATTCCATGAATCTTTGTAGAGTTGCTCAATAGTATTCCCATATACTTTGATCCCAAACAATGGTGTTCAAGTTATTATAATTTAAAATTTAGCCGCACTTAAATAAAGCTAAACTGAGATTTTTAGCTTTTTCTTGGTCCTCAAGTACCAAAATAAAGGGTTTTAGGAAGAAGAATAGCAAAGCTCATAAACAGTATATCTCTTCCTGAATGACTAGAGAATTTGGGAGTATAAACATAATTAAAACATTTACGTTACTATGGTAAATTGGCTTTGTACTTTTCTTATGGGGATCTTTTGTGACAGAACTCTGCAAAGCTAGTTCGGAGCCGTCGTTTAACTTTATTTTAAATATAACAGAAAAGTTAAATGGGAAAATATGTATCTTGATAAACTGTGGAATGATTAAAGGTCTTTTTCATACCATATATAAAAAATTAAAGTGTATTTTTATATGTTTTTTTCTTATTTGGTTTTAAATAGCAATGTCATTTTGAAAGTGACAATTTTTCTTTCTACCCACCAAAAATTTCTTCATACCACTTGAAAACTTCCCAATATAAAGGCCCAAATGACTAACAGAATCAAGATGATGTCAGTTGCACAACACTGATGCGCTTACCTGTCAGATGAACCCTTCTTTATTTAGCTCACTGACACCTCCCATTTCAGGAACCGTTATGAAAAATGTACCTAAAGGACTTCTACTTTATGCTGTGGCTGTGGTTTCTGAACAAAATTTTCAAGAACAGAAAGGTCCTAGTAACTTCTAGTTTTCCCAGTAGAAGAAATAAGCATATGAATATGATTATCTTCCAAAACATAATTAAGCAGATCTGCAGAAAATAATAACACATTAAAGCCTTCATCTAGGAAGCTTACAGGTATTATCTTGAATAACTAACCCCGGCACAATGGTATGAATGCATATTAATGAACTGACATTACAGAATCTAAAAACTGTTTGTTAGGGAACTACCTACACGAACATACTGATGTTGAATAGCTTTACTTTCAAAATATGGTTTTTCTGAAATAGTTATTTTAGGAAAAAGACTAAATTGGACATACTATCATTTGGCCTTTAATCATATAACCAGCAGTTTTTGTAGTTGAAGGCTTGTTACAAGAACCTAATATTTAATATTTACATGTAACAAGTTACCACCACCAGAGATGTGGGAAAAGTAAGATAGAATCCATGTATGTATCTTAGCATAGGCAACAAAGACTTTCATGATACAACTGTTTGCATCATTACATCTCACTTCCTAATATCTGTCTCCTTGCTCACAGAATTCCAAACACATTGTCCTTTATTCAGGCCTTAAAATGTATCCGACTTCATCCTGCCAGAGTGTCTGCATATGCCCTTTTCTCTGCATTAAAAAGTGTGTCATACCACCTTCAGGTTGCTCCTTATAGTACATCACATTCCTGGAGGGAGAACTTTGCATTCATCAAAAATACACAGGGCTCTCTCTAACTTATGATAAAGCTCTCTTTGTAGGAACAAATATGCAAGTAAACAACTAATTTGGGAGCTCTCAGAACACACTAGAATGAGCTGACCTATACATCACCTTATGCTCCAACAGCAAAGAAATGCTCTGTAAGTTATAAATACTACACTGCAAGAGGAAAAGACAAATGCATTTTCATGTGACCAAAAGGGTAATCAAAACTCAGATCATTATACAGATGATGTGGAACTTCCATGTGATCTCAAAAAAGAGATTGTACTTTTTATGCCCTATGTAGATATTTAAGTGTATATGCTACTGACAAAGGAGCCTCAGACTTCTGGAATGCATAAGAGTCCCAAACTTTTGCCCCTAACCAAACCTGTACCCACAGATTCTGTGCCCTGGCCATGTCTATCCGCTAACTCCTCACTGGCTTTGCATCTTGTTTGCCCTAAGGATAGGGTGGTAGAGGTGCCAACCAATCGACTGACCTGATTGTGGATGAAGGTAATGCGCAGCGAAAAAGTGATCCCAGAGGGTAAGGTGACCAAGAAAAAAGTACAGACCTGACCAGGGGCGCTAGGAGTAAGAAAAGTTCACCACTACCATTAACTTTGAAAACAGTCTGGGGATTTTACTGGAAAAATAAGT